CCCCAAGGCAGAGCACAAAGGGCGTCGGGCCCACCACGCCTGGCCACATGGCGACGCCGGCAAGGGCACGCCTGGCCGCCGACGGGGCCCCGGGCAGGGCACGCGCCTGGGCACGCCACGCTGCGGGGCCCCCTGGACACGTACGGGCACGGCTGGACGGTGCCCCACATGAGAGGAGACCGAACGCAGGCCACTAGGGACACGGCCCGGCGCACGCCGACCCTAAGCCAGCCACGCGACCTGCACGGCACGGGGACGCCCGACACGGGGCCAAGGAGGGCGCCCCCAGCTCTCCCGGGAACTAACAGCAGAGAGCCCAAAGGACTAACTAAGGCGGCACACACGTACCGCGAGGGGATGGCGCTTGGCACACGCCGCACTGGGGAGGTCCTGACTAGAATTGAACAGAAAACCTCACCTTGGGGTTAAAAGTGTAGGGCAGGAGGCCCCTGCCGGGACTGTCTGGGGTGTCGAGGGCCCCAGGATGTCCGTGAGAGAGAGGGCAGGTACCGAGGCAGCTGGCGTGATGTCCATCTCGTGCGAAGTCGGGTGGCCGGGGAGTGGTTGCGAGGGCAGCGGCGGGGGCAGGCGGAGTGAGGGCAGAGCCCCTCTGTTTCCCTGTATTTATACAGCCCCAGACTGCCCGCGCAATGCCGCGGGACGCGCTGTGCAAATGTTTCTTTCTCCCCCATCAGAAATATCCCCGCTTGCGATCAAGCAGTGTCCATTTCTGGGTCCCTTGATTTGTAGAGCATTTCTAGTTTGATTAACTCGTACTCTAGGAATATCAAAACTGTATTTATTTCTGGTGTGGTGCTCATGGGTTCTGTTACAACCTTCAATGAAGATTTTGAGGTCAGGATTGGCATTACAGTTCAGCGTTTTATATATGTATAATACACAAGAGAGAATGTGCAGTGACTTAATATCTAACATATTCAGAGATTTGAGTAAGGGTACCGAGTGATGTCTGGGGCCAGAGTTGGATATTGTCCTAATAGCAGCTTTGTGTTGGGTAATTAGAGGACGTAAATGATTTTGGGTAGTAGAACCCCAAGCACAAATACCATAGTTGAGGTATGGATAGATGAGGGAGTAATAGAGAGAAACCAGGGCAGGGCGGGGTACATAATATCTGATCTTAGAAAGAATGCCAACAGTTTTTGAAACTTTTTTTTGATATATTTAGAATGTGTCCCTGGAAATTCAGCTTGTGGTCGATGAGAACGCCAAGGAATTTGCCGTCTAATTTGTTACAAATTTGGGTATTGTTTATTTTGAGATTTATCTGATTAGAGGATTTATTGCCAAACAGAATATAAAACGTTGTGTCAATGTTAAGGGTGAGTTTGTTGGCAGTTAGCCAAAGATGGACTTTCTCTAGCTCAGTATTTACTGTGGCATTTAGAGCAAGGGGGTCAGGACTGGAGTAAATGAAGGTTGTGTCGTCAGCAAATAGAATTGGTTTGAGGTGTTGGGAGGCATTTGGAAGGTCATTAATGTAGATGAGAAAGAACTAGGAGAGGGCCAAGTATGCTGCCCTGAGGAACACCAATGTTGATGGGTAGGGTGGGAGAAATTGTATTATTCAGAGAAACATACTGGAGCCTGTCAGTAACATAAGATTTGAGGTATTGCAGGGAGTGTCCTCTGACTCCATAATGATGTAATTTAAGAAGAAGGTTTTGATGGTTGACAGTGTCAAAAGCCTTACGCAGGTCCACAAATAACCCAACAGGAAACTCCTTTTTATCAAGAGCTGCGTGAATTAAGTTAATCATACTAATAAGTGCATCGTTAGTGCTTTTTTGGGGTCTGAAGCCATATTGACAAGAGCTAAGTATATTGTGTTTGGCTATCAAACTCAATATACTTAGCCCTTGCCAATATGGCTTCAGACCCAAAAAAAGCACTAACGATGCACTTATTAGTATGCTTAACTCGATTCATACAGCTCTTGATAAAAAGGAGTTCCCTGTTGGGTTATTTGTGGACCTGCGTAAAGCTTTTGATACTGTCAACCACCATAACCTTCTTCTTAAATTACATCATTATGGAGTCAGAGGACACTCCCTACAATACCTCGAGTCCTACCTTACTGACAGGCTCCAATATGTTTCTGTGAATAATACAATTTCTCCCACCCTACCCATCAACATTCGTGTTCCTCAGGGCAGCATACTTGGCCCTCTCCTCTTTCTCATCTACATTAATGACCTTCCAAATGCCTCCCAACACCTCAAACCAATTCTATTTGCTGACGACACAACCTTCATTTACTCCAGTCCTGACCCTCTTGCTCTAAATGCCACAGTAAATACTGAGCTAAATAAAGTCCATCTTTGGCTAACTGCCAACAAACTCACCCTTAACATTGACAAAACCTTCTATATTCTGTTTGGCAATAAATCCTCTAGTCTTATAAATCTCAAAATAAACAATACCCAAATTTGTAACAAATTAGATGGCAAATTCCTTGGCATTCTCATTGACCACAAGCTGAATTTCCAGGGACACATTCTAAATATATCAAAAAAAGTTTCAAAAACTGTGGGCATTCTTTCTAAGATGAGATATTATGTACCACGCCCTGCCCTGGTGACTCTCTATTACTCCCTTATCTATCCTTATCTCAACTATGGTATTTGTGCTTGGGGTTCTACTACCCAAAATCACTTACGTCCTCTAATTACCCAACACAAAGCCGCTATTAGAACAATATCCAACTCTGGCCCCAGACATCACTCGGTACACCTACTCAAATCTCTTAATATGTTAGATATTAAGTCACTGCACATTCTCTCATGTGTATTATACATATATAAAACGCTAAACTATAATGCCAATCCTGATCTTAAAAGCTTCATAGAAGGTTGTAACGGAACCCATGAGCACCACACCAGAAATAAATACAGTTTTGATATTCCTAGAGTACGTCTTAATCAAACTAGAAATGCTCTGCAAATCAAGGGGCCCAGAATGTGGAATGACCTTCCCAACCATGTTAAAGACTGTTCCTCTCTCAACCAGTTTAAGATAAAAACTAAACACTACCTAATAAATTCCCTGTAATCTACCTCACTCCTCTATTGTCAACCCATGTCTGTTATTTTTTTTTTTTTTTTTTTTTTTTTTTTTAATCAACACTGTTTGTCAACCTATTGTATTTGTGCTGCTTTTTCAGTCATGTTCCCCCTTTTTTTTTATCTTTATTTGTATTTGTTCTCAACACCTTTTATTCTTTATGCTCAATTAGTATTAAGTTCTAGATATTAATGTTTTTCTTGCCCGAAACGCATTGCGTAATAGTGGCTTTAGGCATTGTATGTACTAGCTCTATCTATATATCAATCCATTAATTTAACATCACTTGTATGTATATACCTTACCTGAATAAACATCTGAATCTGAATCTGAATCAAACTTCCTTTGATATTACATATTTACATCTTATTTTGTTATGAAATGATATTTTTTCAGAGTAAAATTATGTTTTCTCATGTTCTGCATCCAGCATCCACATTATAGTGAGTAAATATACCATATTACTTCATTACTTAAATAATGCTAGGAGGGTTTGAGTAGCTTTGGGTCTTTAGGTGAACAGAATCTCCAATAGATAGGGCGAGAGTCGCCCCATCTCTCTCGCCTGGGCGGGAGTCGAAACTTAAATTAAAATTGCTATATCATTAGTCTCCAACATGATATATTTCCTTTGGTGCACTCACAATAACGATTATAGCTCAGTCTTTCTGGAGGAATGTAATATTTTAGGCTTTATTAGCGTATCTTTGTTAATTACACAATATATTGGCAAGTGCGTAGGCGTCTGCACTCCATGACCGAAAAGCTACTGAATGCCTCTATAAAAACATATGTATCTTCACTTGAGCTTTAAATATGTCTAATGTAATGTATTTAAAATGAAGCTCATATTTCTATCTCGCATAAGACATATAAAACATTTGTGTTTATTAACGAATTTACGTAAAATAAACATTGTTCTGAGAGAGAACATTGTTCTGTTCTCTGTCGCTCAGTCTGTACGGGGGTCGGAGCTCGGCGATTATTAAAACACATGAATCTTCATTAGAACTTTAATTATGTCTATGATAAAGTGTTTAAAATGAGCCTTATATTCCTGTCTTTCTTGAGGCATATAAAAAATTTACGATTATTTACAAATTTACGTGAAATAAGCATTGTTCTGAGAGAGTTGCTCCGTCGATCGATCTGTCCGGAGTCGGAGCTCGGCTATCATAAAAGTACACGTATCTTCCCTTTAAATTTAAATATGCCAATAGTAAGGTATTTAGAACGAAGCTTATATATCTGTCTTTCTTGTGACATATAAAACTCTTACGTTTATTAAGGAATCTGCGTGAAATAGGCATGGTTCTGAGATGAATGCTGCGGTTTTCGAGCTCGACGAGCGATGAAAACTGCCACTTTTATACAACTACAAATATCTTCGGTTTTACTTAAAATATATGTCTGGTAGAGGTTTTACATATAGATCGCGTTTCTGTCTTTCTTCTGACTAATAAATAATTTTGGTTTAATCAGTTATCAAGATGTTTTCAACAATATTCTTTCAGCGTTCGTCTTTTCCAACACGGGCGACCCTTTTGGAAACGCGATACTTGGGTTAACCCATCCTATAGTTGGGGTTCGAATATAAACAAACACCTCAACTCAGTGCAGTACGAGTACAACAAATATTATTTAGAGATTTTCCACAAAACTCTCTATATTATATAAATCGTACCAATTTATATATATATAAATATATATATATATATGTATAAATATACACTATTATACTTGATCGATGTCATATATCATTTAAAATCAATTAGAAAAATAAGTAGCTGCGTTTCCCTCTGCAACCGTGGCACAACAACAACACTAACCTAACACTACCTTCGTGCAAACTGCACGTATCGCGAAGAAGAACCTGGCAGTGTGTGTAGCTCTTGACACTAACTACACAACAACAGCACTAACCTGGCACAGTGTGTGTTGCTCTTGACACTAACTACACAACAACAGCACTAACCTGGCACAGTGTGTGGGGCTCTTGACACTAACTACACAACAACAGCACTAACCTGGCAGTGTGTGTTGCTCTTGACACTAAATACACAACAACAGCACTAACCTGGCCTAGTGTGTGTGTGGCTCTTGACACTAACTACACAACAACAGCACTAACCTGGCCTAGTGTGTGTGTGGCTCTTGACACTAACTACACAACAACAGCACTAACCTGGCCTAGTGTGTGTGTGGCTCTTGACACTAACTACACAACAACAGCACTAACCTGGCCTAGTGTGTGTGTGGCTCTTGACACTAACTACACAACAACAGCACTAACCTGGCAGTGTGTGTGTGTGGCTCTTGACACTAACTACACAACAACAGGACTAACCTGGCACAGTGTGTGTTGCTCTTGACACTAACTACACAACAACAGCACTAACCTGGCACAGTGTGTGGGGCTCTTGACACTAACTACACAACAACAGCACTATCCTGGCATAGTATGTGGGGCTCTTGACACTAACTACACAACAACAGCACTAACCTGGCACAGTGTGTGGCTCTTGACACTAACTACACAACAACAGCACTAACCTGGCAGTGTGTGTGGCTCTTGACACTAACTACACAACAACAGCACTAGCCTGGCACAGTGTGTGTGGCTCTTGACACTAACTACACAACAACAGCACTAACCTGGCAGTGTGTGTGGCTCTTGACACTAAAGACAACCTTCACACGAACTACACCTGCCATAAAGAAGAAGGAACCATAAAGCAGCTGACAGCTTGTACCGTATTTCATCAATGGCTAATGAGAAGGGTTTACCAGTTCAGTTATATGGCACATCGTCTTTGTGCTTTGACAAAGATGAATTCATGAAGGTATGTTAGCTAGCAAGTGGTTTGGGTATGCAAAAGTAATTGGAATAAATTATTATAGTAAAGTGCTTAGCTTTCTCTGACGGTCCGTCTAATTACCCAAAGCTACCCAAATCTACTCAAAGCTACCCAAACTTTCCTAGTATTATGTAAGTAATGAAGAAATATGATATATTTACTCACTATAACATTGGTGCTGAAAGTAGAACATGTAAAAACATATTTTTACTCTGAAATAATACAAGTTTATAACGAAATTAGATGAAACTAAGTGGCATGAGAGGCCATAGGAAGTCGACAATCCAAGCGACAATTTTGTGGAGCGACTTATCCAAATTATATTGTTGCCTACAGGTTATATTAAGTTAGGTTTGGATAGGTTTGGTTTTGTTAGGTTATGTTTGGGTAGGTTGGCGAGGTTAGGTAGGTACAGAAGGCTGACAGAGAGCCGGTGGCTGAGCAGACAGAACGCTGGACGCGTGATCTTGTGGTCCCGGGTTCGATCCCGGGCGCCGGCGAGAAACAATGGGCAGAGTTTCTTTCATCCTGATGCCCCCTGTTACCTAGCAGTAAATAGGTACCTGGGAGTTAGTCAGCTGTCACGGGCTGCTTCCTGGGGGTGAAGGCCTGGTCGAGGACCAGGCCGCGGGGACACTTATCAGCCCTGAAATCATCTCAAGATAACCTCAAGATATGCAGAACGCTGTCAGCCAACACTCTCCAAGCAACAACGTGTCTTGGATAAGTTGCTCCACAACATTGTCGCTTGGACTGTCAGCTTGCTTTGGCATCACCGGCAGCTTATTTTCGTCTAAATTTGTTATGAAATGATGATACTTTTTCAGGGTAAAATTATATTTTTCCATGTTCTACATTCAGCACCATCATTATAATGAATAAATATATCATACATATTCATTACTAACGTAATGTTAGGAAGCTTTGGGTAGCTTGTTAGGAAGCTTTGAGAAGCTTTGGGTAATTAGACAGACCCTTCTCTGGAATAATTGGAAATACTGGATAATGAATGTTAACCTAACCCAAGTTTTGGGTTAGTTTTGTTTGTATAGGCCTATGGTATAATGAAAAATTTGGATGTATAAAATTAAAATGAATTCTAGAGCAATATAGTGATTTTATTTCAGGTCATGAAACTTGCCAACTCCCACCAACTGATTCCTGCTTTCTGGGACAATTTGCCCAATTCTTGGAATGTATCACTACTTCATTCCAAGACATATCATCCCATTCTTGGAATGTATCACTACTTCATTCCAAGACATGTCATCCCATTCTTGGAATGTATCACTACTTCATTCCAGGACATATCATCCCATTCTTGGAATGTATCACTACTTCATTCCAGGACATATCATCCCATTCTTGGAATGTATCACTACTTTATTCCAGGACATATCATTCCATTCTTAGAATGTATCACTACTTCATTCCAGGACATATCATCCCATTCTTGGAATGTATCACTACTTTATTCCAGGACATATCATTCCATTCTTAGAATGTATCACTACTTCATTCCAGGACATGTCATCCCATTCTTGGAATGTATCACTACTTCATTCCAGGACATGTCATCCCATTCTTGGAATGTATTACTACTTCATTCCAGGACATGTCATCCCATTCTTGGAATGTATTACTACTTCATTCCAGGACATGTCATCCCATTCTTGGAATGTATTGTACTGCATTCCAGGACATGTCATCCCATTCTTGGAATGTATTGCTACTGCATTCCAGGACATGTCATCCCATTCTTGGAATGTATCACTACTTCATTCCAGGACATGTCATCCCATTCTTGGAATGTATCACTACTTCATTCCAGGACATGTCATCCCATTCTTGGAATGTATTGCTACTGCATTCCAGGACATGTCATCCCATTCTTGGAATGTATTGCTACTGCATTCCAGGACATGTCATCCCATTCTTGGAATGTATTGCTACTGCATTCCAGGACATGTCATCCCATTCTTGGAATGTATTGCTACTGCATTCCAGGACATGTCATCCCATTCTTGGAATGTATCACTACTGTTTAGCAACTATATTAAGTAATATACGTGCTCCATACTCTCATTTAGATTTAGATTTTTTTTATTCAGGTAAAAGTGCATACATTGAGTTACATAATGTTGGATTTAAAGATAGAGATAGTACATACAAAACCTAAAGCTACTAGTACGCATAGCGTTTCGGGTTCATGACAGGTTCATTAGTTCATGACAGATAATAAGATGGGTCTGTTAATTCTACATAACTTATCTCTAAGTGTTCCACATTGCAAGAAGCTCTACACTAATTGTTGGTCCATTAATTAAAGTTCCCAAGTGTACAACTAATTACAATTAATATCTCTTCCCAAGGGTACAGGATCAATCAGGCCAGCCAACAGGTAACCTCCCGCCAAACACATACCGAAACTGAAACTTTTCAGCGAATTATCATTAATCTAAACTCCAAGAAGAGTTCAATATAGACACTTGAGAGATACCACACATCTTGAACACCATTGACATTCGGCGTGCATTCAGGTCACCGTCACGCCGTCACACCATTGATCACCTAAAGTGCCCCCAGTAGCTGTACAGACACCACGAGCATAGCTGTCATCCTGTAACTACACTTGGGTAATTAGAGAGAGTCACAACAGCCGAGCCCACTACCTAAGGAGAGGTAGGAGTAGACTAGGAAAAGCCTAGTCACTAAAGATAAGGGAGGAGCAACACTGCAGCCAGCTTTTCACCATCACACTGAGAGTGAAGCATCACACTGAGGAGTCACACTGCTGCAGGCTCCAGGATAATTCAAATTATCTAAGTGTTGGGAGTAGGGTGAGGGTTGCACCTCACCCTACCTCCACCTCACCTCCACTTCCACCAGAATACATGAAGGTGTAGGGAATTTGAAAATAAACTAAGAGACAAGAAATAAGTGTCTGTGAATGAAAAATCTTTGCTGGAAAAGTTGATCTTTCAAAACAGCAGAATAACAACAAAAATGGCCACCACCACTGGGGAAGATAGTACTCCATCAATGGAATATTTTGAAGGTTTCTCACAACAAGATGCAATGAATGGTGGTTTTCTTGGCAGGTTAGTGATTATTGAGGACATGCTAAAGAATTATGAAGAACAGGTTATTAAATTAGAACAAGAAAATGAATGTCTCAAGATTGAGTTGTGTAATTTAAAAGGAAGTATTTTCTAGCAAGGTAAGGAAATTACCAGCTTGACTGATAAGGTAAGGATGCACGAAGAACACATCAAGGAACTAGTAAAGGATAATGAGGCATGGAAAGTGAAGAGTAGGGAATTTGAAGAAATTAACATGAAAATAGACTCATATGGTGAACAACTCCAAGGGAGCCTGAGAACTAACATGGAGTTAGGCAAGGAGATGCAACGAGAAACTTCATTGGCAACTCAAATAGAGGAGGTTAATAAAGAACTAGAAAAGTATAAAGAAGACATAAAAGAGACATATGCCCAAGTTGTAAAAGAGAAAGAGACAATCAAGGAAGTGTGATCGGAAGTCAAAACCAGAAATGACAAACAAGAAGTGGATCTTAGGCAAACAATTAGGAAAGAACTGGTTACCAACAGTAAACTGGTACAAAACACTGCAGATAGAAGTAAGTTCATAATTATTTATGGGGGGGAGCCCTTACGGCTTCCCGGAGCTATCCATGGCTGATATGGATACCCTAACTATTTTGCATCAGTCGATGTGGGTGGAGTTCTAGGCCTACCGGGGACCACGAGCCAGAACCTGGCCCCCTCAGAGAGGCACGGGGAGCAATGGCCCATAGAAATGCACATGTGATTTGGAGTATTCTATATCTGCCATCGACCAGGACAGGCACCCAGAAAGGTAAGTGCCACAAAACAAACCCCTATTCTGGTTAACAACAAAAATCAACAAATGAGTGGACAGAACTCCCCCAGGAAAACAAACTAACAAGCATGACGTCACACGAGCCGCGTCGCATGTCTGTGCAGCTCCCCCCTCCCCAGGAGGGGAAAGGGGGAGCCCTAGACCCCCGCGCCGGCGATCCCCGCCCCAGTTCCTCGGCTGATGGGATAATGCACGGTCGTGTGGCTCCAGCTCCAGTCTTGTCTCAGTGCTGTGACTCAGTGCAAGCCCTTGGGGCTTGGGGTTGCCTTCCACAAGTCATCTTGGGTCTACCTCTGTTGGCTTTTCGCTGTTTGGCATTTCGCCGCCCCGAGTGTTTGGGGGTTTTACTCCCTTGTTTACCTTAGGGTAAGTGGTAGTTATAGCACTGGTGGGGCGCAGGGTACTGCGTAGCTAGTTTTCACCTATGACAGCGGCCGGCTCTGTTCCCTCTGGGTACGTTGTCCACTTGTGTGGTTTTTCTTTTATATTTGTTTTTGCCTGGTAGGGGGTCTGCCTTGTGTTCCCCCCCCCCCTTATATTAGGTTCGTTTGTGTGATGGCACCCCCTGCTTCGCCCTCACGGGTGGACACGTCCCGTGGGTTCAGCTTTAGCAGTTTGCTTGGTAGTTTGGGGCGCCGGTTAGCAGTGCCCTGCCTGGGATAACCCTTAACAGAACCAGTCTAGGGGCCCTGGTAAACACCCTGGGGGCTCTTGGGTCCGAAAGTGGAGACCCTTGCGTCCCCTCTCGCTTTGTGCGAGTTGAGGGTTGCTCTGTCTCTTTGTCTCAGGTGACTCTCCTTGTTTTTGCCTCCGTCATGCTGCCTGTTGGGTCGGTGACACATTCGACCCTGAGTCTGCGAGCTTTGTTGCTTGTTCGTGACTCCATTCACCCAGTCTGCTGATGAATTCCTGTAGGTGCAGGCAGCTCGCGCGTTGCAGGGTGAGATGTTGCAACGCGCTCAGGTTTGTCGCTTCCCCGGATGCCCCGATGCTGCCCCGCTTGTGTAGGGACCAAGACTTGGGGGTTTTGGTCACTTCGGCCTTGGTTCTTCCACACCCCCCTTGTGTTTTCCCCTCCTACT